GATAGGGGATATATTCACACGTTATATAAACGAAAATGATGGTGTATAAAATTGATTTTAAGATAAAAAATTAGATTTTAAGATAAAAAATATGTTCACGTGGGATTGATGGATGACATCCGGCCGGGCCAACCATGTTGTAAATGCTACTGCTTATATGTTAGCTTTTAATATACGGTTTTATCCTGATTAAAGCTTTAATACAGTACAGCAACCGCATGCGCATCCATGTTTAATGCTTCTCATCGCTATGTGAAAATACGTTTATAATTGGAACAGTTCATTGTAGGAGCTGAGCTGAATGAGAGAGAGAGAGAGAGAGGGAGAGATGCAGAGCAGGGGAACGCGAGGAACAGTATTGAGAACCGCTGCTTTTGAACATTGATTTTGAAACTTGTGAATCCATTAGAATCGTTAGAAGACAGAATCGCGATTCAAGCTTCGTAACTTTGCAGATATTGTTTATGCTCAAACAGCAACATTACACACTAACTAAAGTTAAAAAAGGGAAATCGCAATCAACCACCCCTTTAATTATTTATTATTTTTATATTATTATTTTTAATTATTTTAACTATTCCTGAGTAATTTAGTCTGATATTACCCTCTTTGTACCTTATGAGAGAAAACGTCTTGTAGCATACTGTTGTAGCCTCAAGAAAACATTCCCTTTGTTTCAAAACCTTGCAAATTCACCCCTTTTCCAATAGCAAAGCAGTCCAGTCTTGCCAGTTACCTATTATCACCCATCAGTCAATACAAATATAATCTGGCTGTTTGTGTTGGAGTGTAAAGTGAGATTGAACGAGTGTATTCATTGAGTTTCACACAAACACATTTGTTTGAAAGAGGTTTGGTTACACTTTACTTGAAGGGGTGTGCATAAGACTGACATGACCACGCTCAGAAATGTAAACCGCAGTGAAACAAGACTTCGCAATGAGTTGGAAGGAACAGACTGTTTATATAGGCCAGCTGATGGGCTACAGCTGGGCTAGGTGATCAGTGCCAGATACGGGGCTGATGGGAAATGTAGTGTGAGAGTGTAAGAGTCAATATTCGGGTGAGGGAGCCCTCTGATGGTCGGAAGAGGGAATCACGGAGTTTGACTCTGTGACAATTACATTTTATTGTTTATCTGCATCTTACATTTATTTATTTATTAATTTACTTACTTAATTTATCTAAAAAAAATGTAACTTAAAAAAAAATAAAAGTAAAGTGCAATCAGGTTAAATTGTTTGTTATTCACCAAAGCTCAGGTGTTTCAAGCATTCAGTCATTCTGATAAAGGTCTTACTAGATTGATTCCTTTGCTGGGTTCGCTTTAAAATATTAATATTTTACACATTTAAGATGTATGATGTGTAACCGGATTATGATCTGCTGACTTTTGTGCTGCCCCTCGCACAATTGTTCCTGTCAGATGAAAGTTGACGTATTTTGGCAGCGCTCATGTCTGTGTAATTTTGATACCATCTGTAAAAACATTTGACTTTTAATGCGTTCATTTAATTCAACATTAGTCCCAAACTTATCATTAAGTGGCTGTACTTGTTTAAGGCTATTCTTCTCATTTGGATGTTGTTATTGCAATTGCTGTCATTAAATAAGTTTCATTCATAACATTTCCCCATTTTACCTAATATAAAATTTCATGCCTGTATCTTCCTCTGTACCGTGGCAAGCCTACTGCACACTATACAAAATACTATAGTAAAAGTAGTATCCTAGTATACTATTGTGAATATAGTCACTAGACTCTAGCAATTAATCATTTGCCAACCCAGTGAAATTCATGTTGTCCATGTGTTTGTCTGTGACGTCATTGTTTACTCTCAAAGCCTTATAAGCGTGCCTCTGGGTTATGTACTCATACTGTATATGTTTCGTGGCACTGTGAAGGACCAGACAGACATTGACAAGCAGCGTTATTGTGTTTTACACAAACAACAATATGCTGACTTGATCAGAATTATTTAGATCATTACCCTTTGCATCATCCAGTTTTCACAATGTTACAGTATACAGTATATTCCATTTCCAACAACCCTATGTACGTGCAGAATATTTATTCTGGATCTGGATTTCCCAGGCTGTTTTTACACTCAGTTTGTTTGGTTGGTCTGAACCTGAGTTCATTTCGCTTTGCATTATTTGCAGATGTCTGGTGCTGGTGCTATAACAGCTCAGAAGGAGAAGGACAAGGAGCTAAAATGGGAAGCATTATTCACCTCATTTGCTGTAGTCATATTTTAGTCCCTATGATTTTCACTTGCTGATTTTCAGGCAAACAGGAATGACTGATGCATTATAAGGTGAATGCAGGTCAATAGGGCCACTTTTTTCATATTGAGAGAATTGCCAAAAAGTGAAAATGTATCTGTAATCACTCTACTATCAATAGCGGTTCACTCTGCAGACATATGCCACATAAAACATACATCAGACTCACATTTTTAATTTTTCCCATTTTTTGACTCATGCACGAGTTCGAAAACCCATTAAAACAAACTCATCAAATGGACTCTGGTTCGAAACACACAAGCTTTAGTGTGAAAAAGCCCTTGCTATGATTTTTATTCTATTGTGAGACCACCCACAGCACAGTATGCTGATTCACATGTGTGTAATGATGTTTTTCAGGTGGTTCATGAAGCTTATACTAGATTCACAAAGGAGCCCACCGTACAGTCCACATGGGAGAACAACACTGAAAGCACAGAAGTTGAGATCAAAGTAGGTGATTTTGTTTTTCTTTGGAAGTTAGTTAGTCTGCCAACGTGATTTTAAAGTTATAGTTCACCTCATGTCATTCCAAATCAAGGCTATTCTTATTAACTAAAAATACAGTTATTAAAAACATTTTGTTAATTGAAAACGCTAAAATGAAATTAAATATATAAATATATAATATTAGATGAAGAACTTAAATGAAAATTAGAAATATTGCCTTGAAAGAAGTTTAAGTACTGATTGGAAATAAAAACTAAAACTGAAATAAATCAAATTAAACCTAAATAGTAATATTTAAGAAGAACTAATTAAAATGACAAAAGCACATAACAAAAATACTTCTTTTTTTTTTTTTACTAAAACTAATATAATAACTGAATATATACAAATAAAAGATGATTCAAAACATTAATAAAACTTTAATAGTATATAAATAATACTAAAATATCAAACCTGTAGGCTGTTATTTTTCTATGGAACACAATATTTAAAATATTTTTTAAAAATGTGAAAATTAAATGTAATTATATTTGGTTCTTTAATATTTAATATTCGTTAAAATCTAAAGAATTGTTATGCAGCTTGTGCAACAACTGGTCATAGTTCAGACCAATAAAGACAAATTAAATTAATTTACCAGCAACATATGTGACCCTGGATCACAAAACCAGCCATAAGGGTACATTTTTTTGAAATTGAGATTTATGCATAATATGGAAGCTGAATAATTTGTTAGGATAGGACAATATTTGGCTGAGATACAACTATTTGAAAATCTGGAATCTGAGGGTGCAAAAAAAATCTAAATATTGAGAAAATCGCCTTTAAAGTTGTCCAAATGAAGTTCTTAGCAATGCATATTACTAATCAAAAATTAAGTTTTGAGACATTTACTGTAGGAAATTTACAAAATATCTTTATGGAACATGATCTTTACTTAATATCCTAATGATTTTTGGCATAAAAGAAAAATTGATCATTTTGACCCATACAATGGTTTTGTGGCTATTGCTACAAATATACCCCAGCGACCTAAGACTGCTTTTGTCACATATGTGATACTTTATTATACAGCAATATTTTGAATTCTGTAATATTCTGTAAAAAAACAAAACAACTGTTCATATTTCAGAACAAAATGACAAATAGAATTAAATTGAATTAAATTAAATTTAAAACGGCAACATAAAGATAAATAATGACAGAATTTTTGTGTGAATGTTTTTTTTTTTTTAGTATTTGTATAGTTCATCTTACAATTTTTGGTTCTGATTTAATTCTTAGGGTCTTGAGGTGTCAAAACCAGGTCAGTACCATGCCCTCCAATCTGACAAAAACTTCTTGGAGATGAATGACTCAGGCGTGGAGTTCAACTCGTCTGCGCTCCCTCTGGACAGTGACGCAGACGTACCCGACAATCTCGCCTCTCACAAGATCCTGCTCGAGTCTGACACTCTCGCTGGCGTCCCGCCAGCCATTTCTGAGGGCGACCACAGTGCCACTCGCACCCCTGATTCCATTCTGAGTGTCAGCCCTGCTGTCCAGCCCAAATCTGCAGCTCAGATAGATGGCGACTTGATTGGCGCGACCACACCTGAGGAAATTGCAAAAGCAAATGAATCGGATGCAAAGATGAGCAAAGATGCTTCACCACATTCAGAGAAAGCATTGGATCCAAGTAATGGAACCACAACCTGAGAACTTTAAAATAAACTGAGTCACACTAACCAGTGTGGCCACTTTTCATTCGTAACATCTCACCGTTTGATGTCTAAAATTACCCAGCACATCTTGCTGGGCTCATCTGATGCTTAACAAATGGTTTGTCGAACAAGCAGAAACACTGATTCTAGAAGAACAAAAGAACAAATCCAAGAGAAGACCACAAAATTCACACACACAAAAAATAACTTTGAAGAACAGAAACGGCCCTGCACTATGCATGCATTTGAATTACTGCACTCTGAAAAATACTGGGTTAAATGCAACCCAGTGCTGGGTAAAATAGGGACAAACCCAGCAATTGGGTTGTTTTGACCCAGTGGTTGGGTGAGGAGTTTAAAGACTAGTTTAAAACCAAGTGCTTGATTAGAGTGACCGTGTAGTGCATGTGAAGAAGAAAAACACATCTTAAGACACGCATGTAAGACTTAATACTTTTTTATTAATTTTACTAAGCAATGCAACTAGAACTAGAACTTTTATGAGAGAGTCCAAATGCCTGAAGCTACATCTGAAGCAGATTGCATTGGATCTTACATCTACAAAATGCCAAAAGAACATTTTGAGAATTCCAAATCAAGTTGGATTCATTTCAAGATCAACCTGAATGCATTTTACTGGCGAACATGCTTTCCCAGCGCTACACCTGGTGCGAATGCTTCCTTTTGACCGTCTGCAGTTACCGCCGGCTTTGAAGTGCTTTACTGATAATCCTTGCCAATGTTAAACTAAACATCTTGATGAGTCAGGTCGGTATGGATGGCAGGTATCTGATACGGTGGCTTACCACTGTGAATAGGATCAGCTGTGATGGAGGGTTTTGGCCCTGGTTCAGAGGAAGTTCTCTGAAGGAACGGCTTGTTTGATTCTGCTGGAGTGTCTCCACAGCCTGGGCCTTTCCGGTGATCTCCTTTCTAGCGCTTCTCATGCGGTCCTTCATTCTCGCTCATTTGAATATATTTTAGCAGGTTTAAGCTGTGTAAGGCTTGCAGAAAATTGCGTATTGAGAATCTCAGACATTTATTCATGAGGAATGATTTGCAATAAGACCCAACTTAGTGAGGTGACACTGCAGGGAGTACAGAAACATTCTATATCCATATTCAAAATATTTAATATGGTTTCATTAGGTTTGAATCATTTGTGTTTGACTCATTTCTGTCAGTACAACTGATTCAGGATAAAACGCATCTATATTTCCAACTGTAACATGCTCAAACATTTGGAAATTATTCAGATTTAATCATTACAAATCATCTTCATACCATACACTCTTAAAAATAATGGCTCTTTATTGGCATTGATGGTTCCATGAGGAACCTTTAACATTCATCCACTCTTAAAAAACATTTTTTTTAATTGCCTTCAGTGGTTCCACGAAGATCCTTTTATATGCCTGGAACCTTTTCATTTCACAAAAAGATCTTTATAGTGGAAAAAGGTTCCTTAGATTATTAAAATGTCCTTCAAAAATTGTTCTTTTAAGAACTGTGCACTGAAAGGTTGTTTGGGGAACCCACATTGGTTCTTCTATGATGTTGCTTTGAAAACCCCCTTTTGGAACCTTTATTTTTTAGAGTGTATAGTTATAATATCTCTTTTTATGTTCTCACAGCACTTGATTTTTAAGTTAACACTACTCGTTTTTACTGGATAAATGCATTTATGCAGGTAATAAATGATGTGTGTGGAAGATTATGATGCAATATTAAAATGAGCTGTAGCTGGTGGGTGGAGTCTAACATCATGGGGCGTGGCTTAGCCCGCTGGTAAAATTGCTACCTCTGTTTTTATGTCTGAAAGACGCACTGAGGAAAATAGCAAAAAAACAACAACACAGGGTGTCAAAAAAAGGCACAATAAAGACAAAATCCTTGCAAAAATATGAATTGAATTGCAGCTAATGTAAATACAGTGGTTTGCAAAAAATAATGGAAAAAAACGTAGTCAAATTATGAATTAAACCAACCCCTTTTTGCTCTTACTGAACCCTTTAGTAACTGCATTTAGAACATAGACTGATTGTAAATTTAAAGCATTGTATGAAAGGTAAAAAAAAAAACTTTTCTATATTGCATTGAAATATTTCATGATCAAGCCCTAGATTTTTGACTAGCTAGCATTATTTTAATCTCCCATTTCTTCACTCTAGAAATTGCATTATTTTTTAAGGTTCATTCTTATGCCACATGAATAAATGTGCAATTATTGGGCCTTATGAAGCAATATTAGTGTATAAGCATTCATTTATGAAGCATGACCAAAACAGCTTTCTTTGTAAATTGTTCATAAAACCATTCACTCTCCGAAAAAAGGTACAGCTGTCACTGCAACACTTTATGTATGAATGGATTTATGATTGATTTACACAAATTTGTTTAGCTCAAGTTTCATGAATGAGGCTGAATGCATTCTCAAACACACACACACACACACACACACACACACACACAGAGACACAGACAGACAGACAGACACAGACAGAGGGTAGATGCAACAAACATACAAACACACTTCTGTACATAGATATATTGCATGTCAATGATCAGTACTATTTCTATCCAATGATTGCTGGATTCTCAAGCATTTTCCTTAAAATAAGACACATTTTCAAAAAATCAAGAAACCTTTACAGGGTTTCTGTGGGTCCTAAAAACGGGTCTTAATTTACCCTTCAACAAACTAAAAAGTGTTAAATCTGAGCTGAAATCTTAAATTCATAAAGCAGCAGCATTAAATGTTGCATACACTGCAAAAAAAAAAAAATATCTTCCTCAGTATTTTGGTCTTGAATTCCAGTTCAAATATCTAAACATTCTTAAATCAATATGCATATACTTGAGATGTAAAAAAGATCTTATTTTATTATCTTTTTTTTTTTTAATTGAACAAAATTAGTTGAGTTTATGCTTAAAACAAGAACAAACATGTCAATGGTGTACGAAAATGTATTTTCCTTTTGAATTAAGTAAATTCATCTGACCCAATTGGCAGATATTTGTTCTTGTTTTATTCACAAACTCGCTTCATTTTGATCATTTTCTCAGAAAACAAGACTTATATTACGTCATTTGCTTCTCAAGTAAACGTATCCTGATTTATGAATCTTGACACATTTGCACTGGAAAAAAAAAAAGGACAGCACTTTTTTGCAGTTTGAAAGTAAGTTATTTCCCAAAAAGTAATAATCTGTTGTATTTTCAGACTTGGAAGTGTTGCTAATGCAACTCATTGTGAGCGTCCTGGACATTTAGAGAACATATTGATGAATTGCATTCCTTCAGTAAATCATATTCTTTACTTAGTCTTACAACAGCCTTAAATTTACCTTCACAAAACCTGCAGAAACCCTGCTTTCGCACAATCATGCTTTAATTGAATGATTTTGATAATGCAAAACTCACTGAGACTATATTATTATCGCTATTTATATACTCTCTCTATGTGCTGATGTTATAGATCTACTATATACAAAGTTAAAAGCGCTACAGAAGCATGCTGAACTAGAGGTTGCCTATTAGAAATGAGATTTCGTTGCATTACTTTGTCTCTGATGAGAAGTATTCTTAATGTCAGTGTTATTTTAGCAGCTAATATGGAAATGTTTTCTAATTTGATTTATTTTGGTAAAAATGGATGTCAAATGTATGATTATGCCATTTACAATCATGGACAGAAAACAGTGTTTGAGTGGTGCGCACATTTCCAATCCTCAGGCATAACTGAGCACAACAAAATCACAACTGGTGAGCTGGTCAGTTAGAGGAAATGGATATGATTTTTCTATTTCTTACTAGGACAGAAAGCATGTCTACAGTCAGTTGTATATAGAGTTTAAGCTTGATTATACTTGAACAAATGCGTTCACCCCTCAAAGTTCAGTGTGATTCAGATTTACAAAGGTCATTGCTTTTAAATGTTGATTTGCATTTGTGTTTGTTGAAGTGATCTTTACCCTGAGTACTTTGAGTTGGATAAATCATAATTCTGCATACGAATATGCACTTTTCACACTGAAAAGTGACTAAAAAGATGTTTTTCCATGGCATAGGAACCGTAGCAATACAAGTCCATCCTGTAAGTCTGCTCAGGTTTGATCAGTGGTTTACACAGATGCTGGCATCACATTATTAAATGAGCTCAGGAGTGTGTGCTTTCTTCATCCGTTTATGCAGATTTCATTGTTCAATTGATCTTTTGTCAGCTTACATGCAAGACTTCTCAGGAGACAAGTTTCTCAAAGTGCTTTATTCATCTTAGCTATCTTGGAAAATTTGTGATTGTGAAGATGATTTGTAACATTATAGCATTTTTCCTTTTTCAGATGAGCATTGAAAACCGTCTCTCACACAGATATATTAACAGATGAATAACAGCCTGGCATAAAACCAAGAATATTAACTATACTTCACAGTCATGCACAAAGTACAATGCAGAGGATCTTGTTTTTAGCTGCTTTGTTAATTTAGAACTACACGTGGCTTCATAGTTTGACTTCAAGCACAACTTTAGATCAACTTTGATTTTCTCTCTTGAATGAAAGATGAAAATAAAACTATGACTTTAAAAATCTCATGGTTGGTGTTCTTGTCTTTTTTTTTTCTATGATGCAAAATTAATGACTACTATTCAGAAATGTTATGCAATTCTATTGCATAAATTCTATTAACGACATGAATCCTTTAGCAATAGTTATAATTAACAGTGGCACACAGAAATATATATATATATTGCTAAACACAATAAAAAACTTAACAGATATTATGGCAAATACAGACAACATACTGGTACAAGGGGTTTACAACAAAAATAAATTATAATAATATATATATATATATACAGTACTAAAATAGAATAAATAAATTAAAACTAATTGAAAAAATAATTCCAAATTGAAAAAAATATTAATTTCAATATTTCTTTTCAAATAGCCTTAACTCTAGCAAATAGAATTGTATATATGACATGCAGTAATTCAGTTCTTGCCAGTCAGGGGTATAAATACAAACAGGCTACATTAAAAAAAAAGTCTATAAATATTAATAATGTATAGAAATAGAAATATAATTCATTTTATTATTTTAATTAATATTTTTTATAATTTTGTACTATTTATTCTTTATTATATATTATTTCTTTTTTATATGTCTTTTTAATTTTTTTTGTAAACCCCTTGTATTAGTGTGTTGTATCTGTATTCAAATTTGAATTCCAATTGAAAAATTATTGAATAATCCATCAGCGTGTGACGGTTACGAAATAATTGCAATGATTATGTTAAGAAGAAAAAAAACTAAAATATGGTTAAAACCGTCTGCTTTGTCATTCTCTATTGACGGTCTCCCTGACAACACGGACGGAAGTGGCGTTGAATTTCGCGCAAGGAAACTCGTGCTGGTCCTGGCGCGCCAAATTTCAAAGCACTTCCTGGGGAGAGGAGGCGATAAGCTTTACCACGGAGCACAAATAAAAGACTTATGTAGCGTTTCACAAAAAATATACCTTGATATTGTGGGTATGTCACGCTTTTGTAAGTGTTTTATCATCGTAATGTTCGACGGAATGAAGTGGTTGCGTTTGTAAAGCAGCTGTTTGCAGTTCGCTTTGTGTGAATGTGTTTTTATGCGCTTGCGATCACTGCTCTGCCTGCACACGACTAACATTTCCTTTAGCGACCAGCGAAATATCTATAACACAAACGACTGCTTTTCTAAATGCTTTACACTTTTTGAAACCGCTTTGACACGCTTTTTAAACTAGCATTTGTATATATCGGAAGGAAATCTAGGCTACAATGCGTAGTGTAAATCAGGCGTTGGTAGACGATGCACAACTGTAACTTTGGTGTTTGGGCATGCATAAGTGTCAATGTATAGAAATCTATATTGCTGGAGCAAAGCCATGTTCCAGTTGGTACACACACACACACACACACCAACTCTTTGTACATGTTGTATGTATGTGTGTGTGTGTGTGTGTTTATATATATATAT